CTTGTAAGTGTTCAATAACTGTATATAGCGATGTGACATCTGCTGTTACTAAAATAAATTCACTGTTCAATTCTATATTGGATAAAATTTTAAGAATATGAGTAGTGTCCCTTAAATGAGACTGTAATTTGGGGACTATGTTCTGTAAAACCTTATCTACGTACTCTGACAAATTGGAGGTCAAGGAGCCAATTCCCAAAATTATTGGGCATCCTGGAGGGTTTATTAAGGTTTTATGTATTTTAGGTACATGATAAAAAAACAGCCATTCTTGGGAATTTACAATAAAGATAATCATATTCTTTTTTGTTTAAGATGCCTCTTTCTTTGCCTTCTTCCAGTAGTAAGCGAAGTTCTATTTGGAATTTTTTGGAAGGGTTGCTTTTTAAAATTTGATATGTTTTGGTATCTTGAAGAAATTTCTTATTTTCTGCTTTGGAATCAATTGAATTTAATATTACTAGGCCTCCACCTTTATCTGCTCCTCTTATTATAATTTCCTCATCTTCCATAAGTTTTTTTAGAGCTACCCTTTCTTTTTTTTGTGAGATTATATTTGGTTTTGCTTTTTAGGTATAATGCTCTAAGATCCTTCTCCATATTTTTTTCGAAGACTCTCATATGGTGGTCAGTTTTAGGATGGTATGGATAGAAGGTTGGTTGTGGATGTAAGGAGGTATGTTGATAATGTTTGTCTTGCGATACTGGGTTAAATTCTTTTTCCAGAAAAAAATCTTTAATGGTTAATTTTCTAATAAATTTGTGGAGATCAATAAATATGTCAAATTTTGTATTGAAAGAACTGGGGGCAAGTTTGAGACCTTTTTGAAGTAAAGAGACTTCATCTTTTGCTAAAACTCTTTGAGATAGGTTAAACACATTTATTTGATTTTTGCCTGGTTGTGCAGTTGATGTCTTTGTGTTTCGCCATCTTGTTCTCTTCTTTGTCTTCTTTTGGGGGATGGTGATTGGACATACTCCCTCTGTCTGTTTTCTTGATTTCTTGATGTCCTTATGGTATGTTGGAGTGGTGACTTTTGGGTCCTTTCTATTCCTTCTCTTTCTCTCTAAGGGATTCTTGTCCGTTTTCTCCCTAAAAAAGTCCCCCAAAAAGATGATGAGGAAGGTACTTTTGTATGTTGAGGTTGAAGCTGATGTGATTGTTGTTGTGGTGAATTAGATCTAAGTTTCCTGAAAGCTGATTTGTAATGAGGAGATGTGTGTGGTCTGGGTTGTGGAAATGATACCTGTTTGGATGGATGTGTGGTATTTGTTTTGTAACTGGATGTCTTATTATGGTATTGTGAGATTGGTCGTTGTGGGTGGTAAGATTGAAAATTGCGATATTGATTTCTGTAATTACTGGATCTATAAGGTGGATGATGGTGATGTTGTGATAGGGGGTGTGTCTGTATTCTCTTCTGTTGTTGGATGTGTGTTTTCTCCAATTTCTTTGTCTTCCTAGATCTTAGTCTTCTTTATCTCTCATTAGTTTCTTATGTTTGGTCATTTTGACTTGAATTTCTAGATCTTTAACTCTTATTTCTATTCTGTCCAGTAATTCTACATATGTTCCATCTTCTACTTCTGGGATTAATCTGTGTTTCATCTCTTGTATGTCCTTGTCCATTTGTTCTAATTCTTTTTTCTTCTCATTAATGATAGATATCATAAGAAGTAGAGAACCTTTGTCTAGAAGTTGATCCCATTTTGTAAGTAGATTAACGTCTTCTTTTTTACAAGCTAGAGTTTTAAAGAGACGGAGGCCTCTTGGTACTAGATTATTGGAGACATAGAATTCTAAGCTTGCTATGTTCCACCATAAGTGTACTTCCTTTTCCATTACTTTACCTCATTTGTAAATGAGTGATCTCATATCTAAAGTTTTATTGGCTTCTTTAGTGTCTTGAACTTTAGTGCCCTTATCTTTAGTTCCTTCATTAATCATGATATCAAATGCATTTCTACTGTTATTTCTGATATAGTCAAGATCTCTATGTAGTGCCATATTGTTTGCTCTAATTAGTGGAATGTGGACTGAG